AAACTCGGACCAGAATCCCGACTTTCCCATCCCCACCGAGACCTCCGCTCTCGCCGCTCAGATTCATAGTTGCCTAATTCATTTTACAAAAAAAGACCACTATACATCGAAGCTCGGGGAACTGAAGCCTAGCCACTCATTCAAAGACTTAAACGCACAAGTCGACCTCATCCCAAGAAGGAAATTTATTGGCTATACGTTTCACAGTACCTTTTTCATCTCCATTTTCACCTCGTTCTTTCTTGCTTTCATCGTCAAGAGGCGAATAGACAAGATATCCTTTCGGGAATTACTCTTTCAATAAAATTATGAAGGATTGCTCAGCCACTTCACCCACTGACAAATGACCCATTACCGTAACAAATGACCTGCCAACCCTTCCACTTTAGATTCAGCTATTCCCATTCGGGGACGAAACGGCATCGTGTACTTGAGAAGGCTTCCCCTTGGGTCTTTCCCCGGCAACGATGCATCGTGGGGATCGAATTCAGGACCAATTTTATATGGACCTAGTTCTTGAGCAATGAGCTGACCTTGTCTTACTTCAACTGATTTTGATTGGCGATTTCCTAGAGGAGTTTGAGACAGGTTGTAAGCTTATTATCGCAGGGGGACAAGTCTGATTAGGGCTGGGATGTTTGCCATGTTTGATAAGACCACCAGACGAAATGCAAACGTTTGTATCGCGCCACTGCGTTAAAAATAGCTGCTATTCAAGTATGCGGGCCGAAAGGATTGGTCGTTGGACTGTCGTTAATGCCAACCGCGTCGTCCTTGGGCAGTTCCATCGAGCCAGTAGGGCTCGCAGAACGTTGCATTTGCTCTGGATCGATCCCATCACGCCCATGAAATTGAACAAAAAACGAAGGCAGGGCGTATGGCTGCTTAGATAACAGTGTGTGTACTTTCGTCCTTCCATGACTCCGGACATTAAAGGAAGCCAGGACGCTTTATGGGCTTTTGAGGGGAAATGGATGGATGTGACATATGGATCCACGTTCGGTCTATCCAATGATTCACGGACACATTTTGGTGGGCGAGCAATAACCATTTCAAATAGGATCTCTTTGAAAATAAAATGCCCCAGGGCAGATTTCCTGACTCTAGATCTTCCGGCATCTCTGGGCCTTGATAGAAAAAAGGCCTCGTCAATCTAGGCCGCATCCGAGTCGAGAAAATTTGCGGAATGCTATCTCTACCACCGAAAAAAGGTCTGGATCACCTAGGCTACAAGGAATCTAGCCATATTCATGCTTTTTTCCCCGGCCTAGGCTCATCCAGCGGAACAAAGCCTATTATCTTTCAGGGGTTTCATTTTCAAGGAGAAAGATTGTTTTCGGGAAAATCGAGACAAAACGTGAGCACGGTAGGGATGACGATAATCGGGCATGGCAAACCGCACAACGGGACAACAAGCTAGCAAACGTGATCAAAACTGCGAGACATCTAGTTAATAATACCGCGCGGCGAGACAACTAGCTAGGAAGCGACGCGCGGTGTTTGCGAACCTAGCCAGTGCGATATTTCACAACCGATGTGCGCTTTTCACTGATAAATCTTTATTTTAGGTGATATTTCTACTTTTACCCCTATTCCCATTTTCTGTTTGGGGTTCTTTTTTTAGTTGTCCTCCGTGGGTGTTATAGCTTACGGTAGATTAGGGGCCATCAAAAAAAAAGTCTAAGAGCATTTTCAGCGGTAACGAGCTATTTCAACTGTCCTACCTATTGAAGATTGTTGAATAGGCGTCTCACCAAAAAATTGCCTTCATTTCGTGCTAATTACCTTCGCACTGATGAGCTTTTGAGGTTTTCTTTGAAAGGGCCCTTCGTGCTAAGTTCAATTCTTTTCAATCAGCCATTACGCCATTTTTAACAGTCTGAATGGGAGATTATTCAGTGTGAACGTATGATTCTCAGTAATTACATAATTGATGCTTTCGTTTCGTACTATCGATAAACCCTTTACGGTATCGTATCATCAATTTTTATTTTAAGTTACAACTTGAAATCATCATAATTGGCAAATGAGAACGTGGAGATTGAGAAGAATGAGAACTTGTCTACCAGTAAAAGTAAAAAGGACAAGGAAATCCAGGTATTCTCGAAGTTTCCCCGGGTATTTGGTGATGTGTTACCAGTTGGGAACTTTTGAGGCTTTACTGACTAACTCTCCCTCAATATGGTCATCAATAACCGTCCGGGTGGTGCACAGACTGCTCTGCCGCCTGAAAACTGTCCGGAAAATTTCGAACTCCCCAGAATAAGTGAACAAATGAATACATTTCGTCTGAGGAATGTTCCAGAAAAATATTCCAAAGAAAAAAATCTAGCTAGTCGTAATTCCGTTTTTTTAATTTTTCATCTGTGCTTTTTTATAGTCAGTTCGAATTTGGTCAGATTAGGAAATTCTGAGATGAAGTTTGGGTGGATGCTTTTGGGGGATCTTAGCTTTGCAAAGTCAAAATAGGGCTCTTTCCCTTCGAGATAATAGTCGAAATATCGAATCTAATGTCACATCCATACCTCATCATCATGGCCGTTTGCCAACGTCAACGGGCTGGACCATTTGGCGGAATAGGAAAAAGAAGCAGCTCGATAACGATATTGGCCATTACCAGTAATCGAATGAAATTTGAAACTGCCATCGATGTCCTCTAAAAACGTCAGTGAAGAAAGAAACAAAATCGTCCCAGTGAAAAGTCGATATCAGCTGTCCGTCCCTTCCTTGGAAGGTCAATTTTTCAAATGACGATTGATGACATGCAATCTTTCATATGGATCATCAATTTCTTTGATGAAAAGGGCATCCCACGAAGTTTGTCAGCTCGCATTCGCTTTTTTTAACGAATCCGTTGCAAAATTCCAGAAATTCTGGGCCATGAACTGACAAAATAACCAAAACCCCTTTGTCCTAACTGGAAAAAAATGCCAACAAGCCCTCGACAAATCGAGTTTGGCCCATCCTTTCACAACTTTTTTCTTATCTTTCCAGGGCATGTTTAAGCCTCTCGTCTTTTTAAATTCATCAGATTCCAAACTCATTTCCATAATTCTGATGAAAATTTTAAAAAATTTTAATTAAAATCGGGTTCTTACCTATCTTAGTAGTGGTGCGACGCAAAACAGGGACGACCTACAGTCAGTTAGTGGCGCCGTTAACCTAACCAGTGCATCGACCCTAGTTGATCAACTCATTCGACCACCGTGACCGATTACTTGACCACCGGCAAACTTGGGAGTAATGATTTACTTGTTGTACCACAAGTATGCCACCGTATGGGTCAGAACTTCGGCCTTCCACCAAATCCGTACCCAAGCCTATGTGTTTCTTGCTTATCGAATACTTTGCCAAGCTCCGAGGAGTTTGTCCTCGGCTTCTCACTTTCTTTCTTCCTACCTTACCTATTTCCTTCAATATTTTTCTTATTACTTATTATTCTACTATTTAACGTCACTGCTGCCGGCTGTACTTCTCCGCTTGTCTGACTGTTGCGCATCCTTCGATCGCAGAGTGAATAAATAAATAAATAAATAAATAAATAAATAAACAAACAAGTTTTGACTTGGTGTTTTGTGAACTGCTGTTAATGGTCCCGGTAGTGGAGGGGATAGAGCACGGTGCCCGGAAAACACAAGTGTGGGTTCGAATTCCGTCCGAGACTGGAGTTTTGTCCGTGAATCGCCAACCTTGTGAAATAAATGAGTATTTTTTTCTTTTGATGCCTACTACTCTACATCCTTCTGAAAATGTTCTAACTGAACCATCAAGGATTTCTAGAGGCTCTTCATTCTAGTCATCACCATGGTGAGTCCGACTGAACGACCTCGGATATGTCGCATTTGAAATAAAAATTAGTTTCGCTGCAAGTCTTTCCCTCTCTCTTTATTACCTCATAGAGTTCGGTCGTTCAGTTGTTTTTTGGGGTCCCCATCTGAAACGGCAATGCACTAAACAGAAACGCTGGGTAATTTCATGAACTCTGGATGGGTGTTCATTTTGATTCTCACTATCCAAAGGTTCTGCCTGTCGGTAACCATTCCTGCTGATATTAATTACTACGCTGGAATGAGTAAAATGCTAGAAGAATGGAAGCCCGAACCTACTCAACGCCATTGACTTAAACAGATGTTTTCGATAGAAACCTCAAAGATCACAGTTCGAATCAGGCCATTTCCGAAGAACGCCTTACGTGTCGGAGGCCAGACTGATGAAGACTGAAAATCGAGACTGATGGAATCCACTATTGATGTGTGGTGTCTACCGGCTAATCATAATAAAAGGCATCTGGATAATTTAGAAATGCGGAGGTGGTTAGTAGCGGATAACCCACTTTCATACATGCACGTCCTGGGAATGGAATCACGAACGATACCCTCCCCGGTGGGGCAAGCTTTTCAGGATTAGATAGTTCGTGTTAGAGTTGTCTGGGAGCATAGAAACCCAGACTTTTATCGCATAGCCTTGTATAAGCCGATTTAACAGAAGTCATTAGAAAAATAGGAGGAGAAGCAGCTACCATGTCAATGCGGGTCGTTTCCCGGATTGAGCCTAGCCAAATCGAATTTTCTTCCCCAACAGACCAAGTGTCTGTATGTCTGTCTGTGGTTTGAGGTCTGTATGATGGAAAAGGAAACGAGGACCCTGTGAACTGATGATGCCAAATATTCGATAGAAAACCACCACGATTCCGACGACGGTTATATGCGTGGCGCATTTCGGATCTCTTCCTATATTTGCCCTATATTCTAGGCCACTAACAAAATTTTCGATCTCCATACTCATGTAGAGCAGGACAAAAATAACCTGGCCATTAGGACGTACGCCCCACCTCCATGAAAACGCCAAAGAATGATAAGACCCTCCAACTTTTCCTTTTCCACTTTAACGAAAACTTCTTCATGGTCGCTATTAATGCTCCTATACCAAGGTAGTCCAAGTGTCAGGTCATAGTCATACCGTATTCTTTGTCAATCGATTATCGATCTATTGTTTGCAGGCTTCAAGAGAGTTCAAATGATGAGCATGTTCTATTACGGAACGATCATGAACGAACAGATGGATTGGACGATGACCACGATTCTGAGCACGATTCCAATGACTATTGGGATGACGACGAAAAACCTCAGCGGAAGGAAAGCATGGCGCAATTCGCTGAACGTAAGTATTCAATCTTTCAAGTGGTGTTATGGGCCTCTAAAGCTTTTTGACTTTCTAAGCACAAATACGTAGGGATTAAGCAAGTAAATAGATAAACAAATAAATAAAAAGGGTGGTGATAGCCAGTTACTTCTGGTCTAGGAACGTTCCCAAGTCCATTGTCGCAGACCGCTTTGGGTTTATCTACATACCATACAAATCCGACTCCATTTTTCAGTTTTCGAATTTCTCCCCAGTCTTGTTCGATACAGGAGGGCATCATTGAGATTTTCGGAAGGTCCTGGGAGGATAGCCAAAAACTGTCATTTAGCTCAACTTTCCAACAACCGTCCGGGGCCATCTCAAAGTAGTATAAATTTCTCGAATATTCGAAGCACTTAGTTCCTCCAGCGATTTGGAAAGTTGTTCTTCAGGCTCCATAAAATTTCTAAGTGCAGCTAAGAGTTGCTTGTATTTAAATGGCTTTTTCAGTGGATTCAGCACGGCCATAAGTCTGCTGAGACCTATTACACCCTTGGGAACCATTTATCGTTGTCGTTTTGTGAAACCAACTATGATTTTTCGAATGTTATAGAGCTTTAAGGGTTTTTGTTGCTCCCAAAACGAAAAGCGTCATCGTATATTTTCTGGAATTTAACTGCCTACTGAATCTGTCGGCTGCCGTTTTCCGCCAGAGCTTTGGAAATGACTCAAATGATGACGGCCAAAATAGAGTATCCAACGGTATCCAAGCAGCGTCCCCTCAGGTGGAAATAAATCAAGCACTCAACGTTCCATAGGGACCGTTCGGGTGATATATTGTGCCTCCATAGGGACTGGGCCTGAACATGTCAATAGCTTCAGTCTGGTCAGGATGAATTTTCGAAACTATTGGAAGGCTAAAGTCGGGGCGAGGCGTCTACCTACCAAAAATGGTTGGCCTACATTACCCTCCCAGGTCCTCAGGTCCATCTTAAAGTCATGGCATAACTATGGAGAAAGGCTTTCCATGTGGGTCCTCAGAAGGGACAGTAACATAGCGGCGAATCCCGAGATTGCAAGTCCCACAGGCTCAACCCTAATCCTTTCATCGATGCAACACCGATCCCCACCTCTGGATCGAGTTCCCAATATTATTCATAAGCATTTTGAGCTTTTACCGGTAATTTGAGGTTTAGCTGGAGTGGTAGGGTATCTTTTTCTCTTTCTTTTGCTGAATGCACTATGAAGTACCGACCCTAGACCCACGAGCCCTCCCACTAGCTAGTCAAATATTACCTTTCCTGCCGAGGCTCTCTGAGCACACGCTTGGTTCTGACCCCAATACTGGAAGTTTGCAGTTCATCAGGTAATTTCCTACTGACCTCCTGACCATTTACCTTCTTCCCTCTTCTCCCTCCCACTCCCCCTGTAGAATCAAGTAGAATCGACCATAAAGTACATAATATGATTCATATTGCTTGATACCAGTTGACCGTGTGGTAAATGATACCCCGATACCCCTGTCACCTGGAATGACAAATGGCTTAGGCAGTTCACTACCGGAAGTAACACTTACCAAAATATTGACTCGGGTTCCTAAAGCATTGACAGACTTTTTTTGCTTCACCGGATGGCACGCAGTCTCATCGCAGGCATGCCTAAACTATGAGAAAACCAATAGGTAAGTATCTCTTAGTCACGAATTGGAAAGATGAAAATGAAGAATCGAGCTTCCTATTTTGGGATCCGCCATGTATTTGACTCTTATCCGATATAGTCGACGTGAATTCTTCCTATACCACATTTTCATTCTTGTGGTAGCTAATATAGAGACCCGCGGGAATTGGGGCCCCGTCTGGGGTAGGAAGTCGGGCGTAGGGGGCGTGTCGGGCGTTGGGGGCGATCAGTCGGTACGATTTTCTTTTTGGGATGTAATTGGCCCAGGGAACCCATTCCTATCTGTACCTTCATCAACCTGATCTTGAGAAAACGAGGAGTTATGGGGAATATTAGCCCTGGGGTAATTCCAGTGATCAAGCCAAATTATAAACTCATTTAATTGATGCTATCTAAAGTATACCCCCATTCAATCCATGCTACCAGAGCTCTCTAGCAATCAGAGTAAAATGACCCTTTTGCACTGATTCCCCTTACCGCTGTCACCAAATCAATGCAATGTTGCCCTTATTTGGACCCCTAGAGATGTTCAACATTCCTATGAGACCTGCT